GTAGCATAACGATGACATATAGCAATATTTCATTAGTAAAAGAGATTGATATGGTGTTTTTAAATGGCAATATATCAGCATGTGAAGATATTGGGATATTTTAATGGATCAATATTTTTTCCCTCGTCTTTAGAAGTTTTTAAGTCTGTAAAAAAGACGTTTTTGAGGAACAAATAGTAGTATTTTTTTTTTTTAGACTTTAGAATCTCAGAAGCTGATCAAATATCGGGTTAAATATCGGCCGATACAGGCCGATACCGATAGGGGGCCGATTATATCGTGCATCCCTAATTAACGGAGCTGTTGACAAGTTTCCACGTTTTGTCATATGGCTGCATGTTTACTCATCCCAGGGTTACAGCTGGATACTTTATTGATGTAGCTGAAAACAGGAGCGGAGCTCCAACACACATCAGGTCAGACCTGGAGAACTGTTCAGTGGAACAGATGCAGATATTTGAAGACCAGTTTCTGAGAGAAGCTTCATTACCGGCTCAAGTAATCATGACCAAATATATAGATAAAATATTGTAATTATTAGATCTTACCTCGCAATTAATTAATAATTAAGAGATACATCTAAGCTGTCTGATTTTTTTGAATGCAATACGCCTTCCTTAGTTTAGCAATAACCTGCATGCTAACCCCAAACTCTCCCATCAGTGAAGGAGAGATAATTGCCTGTTTTTCACTTCCTGTTACCGTCTGATGCGTTTTCTTTGCGGTGTGAGGACTCACCTGGCCTCCTCTGCCTCCTGCAGCAGCTTCTTGGCTGCTTCCAGCTGTGGTTTTGCCTCCTCCAGAACATTTACGGTACTTGGTAAATTTGCAGCCAGCTTTTTAAGCTCCTCCAGTTTTTCCTTCAGCTCGGGCCGACTGATGGGCGGCTTGGCCTTCAGGATGAAGTCACTCACCTCCTGGACCTTGGTCAGGTTGGAGGATGGGTCTAAATGCAAAGAAAGGTTTAATATTTGACCAGTTTCTACCGTAACCCGTCCTTGCAGCCAGGAATTACATTATTCACCTGACAGAAAGTCTTTGAGCTCTTTAACAACGTCCCGTGTTTTCTTTAAGTCCTCGTCCAGCTCATCCCTGGCCTTCTTAGAATCATCAGCCAGGTCCTTTGCTAATTTTTTCACCTGATCTGTTTCCTTCTGTGTCTCCTGAAGCTGTAGAGAGAAATAAAGTTTAGATAAAATAAGCAGAAGGGAAAAGAATTGTGTTTGCTTTGCAGCAAAGCTGCTCTGCAAAAAATTATAGAATAGAATT